GGAAAATAATATCTGCGGTCAGCTGTGTATGCAGAATGTGGCGCACTGCGGTAAATTCCGTCCATTTACAGTGCATTTTCACTGCTCAAACATCTAACAAAATAATATCGATATCTCTGTTTTTTTAAAGATTTAAAAAGAGATGACAATTTGTCTTTGTACAAATTTCGCAGTAAAAACCCACTGTTATACACCAACGTTTTACAACTAAAAACTCATCTGTCGTTTCATAGTCTGGTTGACAACAAGATAAATAAAAATGTTCTTCAGCAGACGAATAAAGGACAGAGAATACAAACGATTAAGTAATCGCTCGATTATGTTCACTCGGTTAGTTTTTTTTGGTGTGACGAACTCGTTAACTGTTCGTTGACTGCTTATTTTGCAAGTTGCCCGAAGTTTAGTTGTTTTAGTTTATTTGCGTTCATGAGATCACACAGTTAAACTGTTTGCAGACAGTTTTGTTGGACACTGTGTTAAAAGATTACCATATTTCATATTTTTCTTTATAAGTTTTAAAATTAAATTAACTCAAATCTTATATCTTTAAATGAGCAATTCTTGTATATATATAATTGGAATCTCGGAATCGGCTCCAACGATTTTCATAAAATTTTGTATATAGGGGGTTTCGGGGGCGATAAATCGATCTAGCTAGTAATCATTTTTAGAAAATGTTATTTTATTCGTGTTTTATCGATAATCAACTTAAACATAAACTTAACTGTTTCTATCGGTAAGATCGAAAAATATTCATCATTTTATTAGTAATTCGTACTTCAATATAATTTCCAAAAAAACACAATTTAAAAAAAAAAGAAACAATACCGAGCAAAGCTCGGTCAACCAGGTACTACACTTTATGACAAAAGAGTCTTAAATCTACTATATTAAATAAAACATTAAAAACGAATAACTAAAATATATTATTAAAAGGAGTCCCTTTAGGCAAGGTTCCGGAGTTACTGGCAGCGTTCCCCCTTTAAATAGTTATACTAATTATTTGTCCGAGGTTGCTGCCAGCTCTTCGTTCTCCTGTGATATCGATATACCTTTTTTAATTCTCAGAAATAAATATAATAATTTTTAGGTCAGGTTTGTATAAGATAAATTTATCTTGGGTTTCTGAGACCAGAGTCTCTGCATAAATATATAGTCATGCCTTACATTATCTTCGACGATACAGAGATAACAAAATGTTTTAAACTGGGATTTCTGTCGCAGAAACCTACGATAAAATTTATGCATGTATTGAACTTTTCTCTTTAATGGCATTTCGAACAACAGAATGCATTAATTCTTAGAATAATGATGATATTAATAATGTCTCGAAGCCATATAACAGTTAGTTATGAGTATAAGCGATCGCAAAAAGTGCGATTGCGCGGAAGAAATCGCGGAGAGTCAAGGCGAGCCGTTATTCACAGCCCTGTAATAAGACATCGGAGGCAACGCTTTTAACATTGTGTCGAGTCATCCGACCCATTGAAGCGGCAAAAAACTAAAAAAAAAAAACTATAAAAATTACGAGGTCTCAACTTTAATCTTTTGAGAAATAATTAAATAATGATTTTAATAACATTTTAGAAATATCTGTTGGAAATATTCGGTGTTAGCATGGGTTTCTCAAACCGAAATCTGCGTATAAAACATATCGCCATCCCTTTTATTTTGACAAAACAAAGATAGCAATATGTTTAAAAACAAACAATTACATATTAAAGTTAACGTTATTATTTATCTTTTACTAGCTGTCGACCGCGACTCCGTCCGCGTGGATATATAAAAAAACTTAATTAGTGTGGCCTATGTGTTCTTTCACACTATGTTCTATAGGTGTGCCAAATTTAATCGAGATCCGTTCAGCCGTTCTAGAAATATCTTCAAACACCCATCAATCCATCCACATCACATCCATCTAAACATTCGCATTTGTAATATTAGTAAGTTAAATAAAAAGCAGCTCTTCAAGGCATAAATTCGAAAAATGAATAAATATTATAGTATCCTATGTCCGTCTCCTTGCTCTAAGCTACCTCCTCACCAATTTTCAGCCATATCGGTAAAGCCGTTCTTGAGTTATAAATGCAACTAACACGACTTTCTTTTATATATAAGATTTATAGACTTTATGTCTATATATAATAGTATTGTTAAATTATATTAACAATATGTACACAACATAACATATATAAGTTTAATGCAAAAGAAATGCTATAAATGCGTAATATTGATTTAAATACAGCTTGAAAGTACCAGTTTTTATAGCGGTAAAAATTTTTATGATACGAAAACGTACCGTAACATACAAAATACATAATTTTGTTTTTAGTAAATGCATAATTCAATTAACTGAACTGTTCATTAAATGCTTCTTACAAAGATTTATTTGGATCAAGGCAGAATGTGGTGACCCATAGTATTTGTGGTGAACACAAGGTTTTTTAAGTGTAAAGGTTTCACAATTAAACAAGTCTGTTAAAGAACCAATTATTTAAAAGATAATAGTTCGCCTATTGATTGATTGTTTAAATAAAGTAGTAAAAAGAATACTTAAAAATTAACTAACAAAAACGCTTTTAAACACTATCTTTCTTTTAGAAATTAATGATTGTAACCAAAAAACGGTACACAATAATTAGATTTCTTAATCGTAAAGAAGTAATTTAATTAAAGAGGCGATAATAATGATTCGTTCATTAATCACAAAGCGATAAAGATTTAGTGTTAACCATTTTTACTTAATAAAAAACCTGGTTATACTTGCATTTTTTTAAAGACTAGTCATTGGTTTCTGAAACCAAAACCTCTGTATAAAACATATCGTTATCCCTATCATTATCTTTGAAAAAACAGAGATATGTTTTAAACAGATTTTTGTCGCAGAAACCTACTGTAAGTATTGTAGATTTATTTGTTCCACAGTAATATTGAAACATTATCGAATATACAGCGTGTCCCAAAATTCAACGATAAAACGGTAATGGTGTATATGCACGTCCACGTCCGTTTTATCGGTGAATTTTGGGACACGCTGTATATCATTATTATTTTGATTATTCGTTTTGTCCTTTTTTCGAATTGACAAAAGAAAAACTTTGTATAATTGTCATAGCTTTATAACAAAAATACAATAGTTAGTAAAAATAATACGATTAATTCTTGGCGAATATAAACTATCACGAATCTAGAACATTGCAAAAATGTTAAGAATTTTGCGCTCTCGTCTACATACATATATTAACGTTCAAATATCACTTCTGAAATTATACCAAGTGTCCGAAAACGTCGACTGATATACGTTTCCGAACATAAATATTTACTCTGCAATGACGAAATTTCAATAGAGGAAGCAATTATAACGTGCAATTTATTTCAGTTTTATAATTCCAAAAATATACGAAGTGAATATCAAATATTTTTGAAGATATTTAAAGCTAGAACACCTCACAATTGTACAATCAGGGCCATTCACAGTACTCTACTTATAAAAAAATTGCCTTGTTTCTTGCAACGCGACAAACTCCGCCCCTAATAAAAAACCAATTACGTAGCAGTGATTTGCAAACGAAGGCATAACAGTAAAAATAAATTATTCGTGTAACACTGACCGACCTTTTTGCATACAGACACATTTAAAATGCTTCCTATTAGTTTTTATTTCCGTGTCGTGGTCTTAATGCAAACGTGCAAACGGCTGCCGCTTTGAAGTGAAATACCGCCAGATTACTTGATAGTACATACTCAACAATCCTTGTATAAATCAGCCAAGAAAGAAATACAATTTCGTAAGCGATTCGAGCTAGATGCAATATGCAAATAGCAAACTGTACAATACGACATAACTGCATGTACCAAAGTCAAAACCACGAAATTGGTATGCAAGGCTCGACCTTTAGTTGGTGGAACAACGGTATTCCCACTGAGCAGCAAAACGAAGACAATACATTGCGACCAACTTCACAATAGCCATTCACAATCATACAATAAACTCACGATATTGTATTAAAAATGCGAGGTAATTGTGCCTAAAGGTATACATAATTATACGTTACGGTTTAATGTGGAGCAATCCAATTATATCATCATCAGCTATACGTCCCCACTGACGGCCTCGGAGCCTACCCGTAAGACAGAGGTGACTAGGCCATAGTCAACGACGCTGGCCCAGTGCGGGTTGGTTGACTTCACACATATCTTTGAATTTCTTCTCAGATATGTGCAGGTTGCATCACGATGTTTTCCTTCACCGTAACAACGTCGGATAAATGTACATATGTAAATCGAAAAACACATTGGTAAATGGCGGGATTCGAACTCAGGACCTGCATATTACAAATCAAGTGCTTAAACCCTTGAGCCACCGACGCTCATCCAATTTAAATGCTATTATTAGATATTAAATATATAACTGTGAACATTATAACATCCTAAGTGTAGAGGAATTACTTTTTGCCGTTCTATTTCTAAGGAGAGTTTTCCAATTTGCAAAATATCATCATTTTGAACTTGGAAGCAATCATTTAATTATATGTTATTCTTTTGTTTTAGAACTAAATTAAGTTAGTACTTTATAATGTTAGTAAATTATTTGCATTTATTCTAATATATCTGTTAATATTATAGTTACAATGAAGAACTTGGTTACTCATACTAATTTATTAGTTGAGAAGTATTTCAGTAAGATAGCGAGTATACGTATTCATCTTACGCTTTGTATAAAATCAAGCAAGTGCCAATTCAAAGACTAATATTAGTTATTTAAAAGTTTTTGTTATTATACCAATTTATCATAAAGATATCGAGCGTATAGCTCTTTATCTTGCGTTGTGCGGATTTCAAATAAGTGCCAATTCAAATACTACACATTAAAAGCAAGTCCGTGTTCGGACTGTTTGAAAATAAAATATTTTGTGCAAAATCGTCTCCAGACCTTTGTTAGTGTTAGGAAGCACAGGTGCGTTAATATTAGTGGCCTACGATATTCCAATGTAATTTACCTGTGTCCTATAAGTAGGTGTTGTTAGCGTGTACGCGGGGGCGTATAGTGTTCCGTTAATTTTATAGAAGTCGCTCTGCAAAAGAAGAAATTTTGAAATTTAATCGACGTAAGAATTTTTTTTATATCATAAGGTGACAAACGAGCGAGCGGCCACCTGAAACCGCTGATATAGCGAAGTGACCGATGCCCATAGACATACGCAATTGCATATGAGTTGCCTACCTTTAATCGACGAAGGAGAGAATGCACAGAAAGAAGATATTTTCCCTTTCTATGCATCCTCTCATCCGAAAAGTCCACTTCCACTTCCCATCCTTTCCTTATAAGAAAAAGGGTGGGAAGGGAAAGGGGACTAAGTAAGGCCTCCGAGACGCACACTCATCAGACGAAACGCGGGATTACTTCCACTTCACGCCTGTCTTCAGTGTGGTCGTGGTATGTCACCGGGAGAGCCGGCCCAATTCGTGCGAAGATGTTAAAGCGGGCTCTACCACTGTTAAATTTCAATTGAATTGAACGATTCATTCGATAATCAGATTCCCAGCCAAGGTATAACATGAGAATTAAAACATATAAATCCGTAATCATCAGACCTACAGTTATTAAAGAAAGCAAGAAAGAGACAAGATACGACAATAGGAAATTAATAGAAGGGTATGGTTGTTAATTTGATTTTATTAGACCGTTTTGATGATATAATTTATGTCAATAGTTGCAAACTGCATACTTTATTATAATTTAAATTCTTAAACAACCAAAAATCTCAAATACAACCACTTTTCTATCATGAACTTATTAAATTGTCTAATTAACTCAACGCGTGTACCACGTACTTTAGTTACCTTGTAATTAAAAAAAATATATCTTACTCTGAAAGTCTTACGAAAGTAAATATTTTATATCGAACAATTAGTTTTGTTCGTGATAAAACCACATTCGCCATGTTTTAGTCACGTTTATAATTCTCACCTCGAATTAATGCTATAAAAACTGTACGCAAATTTTTTTATTACTTCTCGATTTTGAGATTCACATAGTTTGTCTAATGGATTGTTTATTGATTATTTTTGTTAACATCAATTTTATCTAACAAAAGGTACTAATTGGTAAACACTTTTTAACGTAGTTATAGTGAATATCTGACAAAAAGGGTGATGTTTTTTAAAAAAAATATTTTTTCTTAAGTTTGTGTCTCAGTTGTCATCATCATCAACCTGCCCTTATCCTTATGGGGGTCAGCACAGTATGCAATCCTCCATACATCTCTATCAGCCGTTATATCCGAATCTACCCCCTTCAACTCATATCCTTTTTCACATAGTCATTCAGTTTGTGTTTCAGTTGTATTTATTAAAATTTATTTTGGATATACTAACCTCTTGATAGAAGACGCGTTTGGAGTTGTAGGTGAAATTATATTGTTGGTCAAACACCATCAGAAGTATTGTGAAAGGCAAAAGAAATGCAGCCGCAGCGAGAAACGCAACGCATCTTCCTAATCTCAACATACTCATGTTTCTTCTACCCATTTTATATTATTGACACCATCACTTTAAACAAAAGTCACTTTTTAAATACCTCACAGTATTTCAAGTAACCACGCACCGTCTTGTCACCTGGAACAAAATAAAATTGTTATATTACTAGAGTTGTTAATATAATAAAATATGTTTTCTTTATTAGTATATCTAGCATGTAGTGATATAAAAACACAACATAAAATATATAATTTGGCGTAATAATTATTAATAACAAGGTGTCGCCTGCGACTCCGTCGCGGAATTAAAACAAATACTTAATTAATAGCCTGTGTTCTACGTCTATGCGGCGGGTTACGTTCAGCTGTTTTCGAGATACCTTCAAATAAACATCCATCCATCCAAACATTCGCATTTATAATATTAGTAAGAAGTAAGATGTAATTTTACTATGATAATTATAAGGAATCACAAATAAAGGCTTGACCTTGCAAAAGATATAAACGAACTGAAAAGGGAAATAATTTCCTCTGTCTTCATGTCTATCTGAGGTAAGTACTTCCTATGCTCCTTTTCTCACTAATATAAGTATGAAAATCTCAAATCTTTTATATATAAAATAACGATTGCATTGTAGGTCGATAAAAGCAAATATGAATTGGGAGTAATTGACCCGGTGACTAATTTCCTGACACGATACGTGTTTCCGACGCAGACTATACTCTTCCGTTGCAATGGTCAATATATTCGGCTATTGCTCTGTCTGCGAGGAATTATAAAAAAAACATAATTAGTAGCTTATATGTACTTCCCGATCAAATTTATTGAGATCCGTTCAGCCGTTCTGGAGATACCTACAAACATAAATTCCTATAAAAATTTATATTTATAATATTACTAAAATAGTAATTTTATTTCCTAAATTACATTTGGATTAAACAGCCGGATCCCACATAAAACTTTCCATTTATGACTTTCAAAAGTTTGACTCCATGGCATATAATATACTCGTATGTTTTTTAGGTTGAATACTTAAAAATACACGTCCAAATAAGCAGAAAAGTAAGAAAATATTAGAGAACGAGTAACATGTTAAAATATTAACCTCTATATCTGTAACCAACGACCTATAGAGTGCTTTAATGTTTAATTCGAAAGCGCTGCTCGTTGTATTCGAGAAAATTGGTTTGCGGAATTGAGCCGGTCCGGTCATCCCACCGGCGGACCTCCGCATTCTTACGAACCCGTTTTTGATTGTGATTTATGTATCCATCAATATTTAAGTCTTTACTTAACTTAAACTTTGTCGGAAAATAATTTTTTAACAATTAAATAGAATTTTCTTCCTATTACTTACATAATGACATAAATAGAAGAAAGATTAAATGAATTCGAACAGTCTCCATTTTGTGTAATTTAATTTTGGTTTGTGAGACCAAAATCTCTGTATAAAACAATTCGTCATACCTGTCATTATCTTTGACAAATAGAGAAAACATGTTTTAAAAATGACTACTATAACAGAAGTACTAAGGTTTCAAAACAAAATAAATTATTATATCTTCTTACTTCAATATATAAGAAAGGTACATAGTTACAGCAAAATCTTATGAAATGCTTATTAAGTTTGCAGTTGGATTTAAATATGACACTGTCGTGTAGGCTTCAAATTCAATCCGAAGCGGCGAGGGGAGTTTCCTATTACTAACAAGATTACTGCAGTTCATGTTTCGTGTGATATTTGATTCAATTAGTCAGGACATTAGTATTTAAATTCGAAGAGGATATGGTTACATATTTTACAACTTTAAACTCGAGTTGAAAGTTGATTACCAAAGTAGCTATTATTTGTACGAAAATATTTCTTACGGAATCAGAATAGTACTGCAAATAATATTATTTTATTCTTCTAAGTTTTAGATCTTCTTTAACTTGTAATTGTTATGTTCTATATTATGTAAATATAATTACAAATAAATATTTAAGTTATAGTGTTTTTTAAACATGTTGTAGGAAATGAAAAGAAAAATATTTAAGGAAAAATTGGAGCGTGCGCGACAATGTAACATCAAACAGAACAGTGACACGTGCTATTATTAGTCGCATCGTATTGTTTTAGAAAACAATTTCTGTGATAGTAAACCACTATTATTATTACTAACTGCATACGTATTTGCACGCTTGTTTTGTCAGTGAGAACCAACGATGAGACGCATTTTTAATTCACATAGAAGATGTACGAAACACTAACGAAACTCTTTCTACAGATTGAATGATTTTAAAAAGTAAATACTTCCAAACAGATTTTCAGACTTTGTTCCATATGACTTACTAATATTATAAATGAGAATATTTACATGGATGTTTGTTTAAAGGTATATCCGCAACAGAACAGATCACGCTAAAATTTGTCATAGATATAGTACATAATCTGGAAGAATATATAGGCTACTTATTATTTTTTTTTAAATTGCGCGCGGACGGAGTCGCGCAACACTAGTTACTAATAAATTGAGTAATTTATGAGTATTAATAAGGTTAATAATAAATTAAATTGGACAGTAATTATGTTTGTTAAAGAACGCAATAGGCGTTGACATTGTGACAGAAATACTTTACTACCGCAACGGATTGTCCCTCAAATCTTCGTATCTGTATATATAAAAGAAAGTCGTGTTAGTTACACTATTTATAACTCAAGAATTTTATTGATATGGTTGAAAATTGGTGAGGAGGTAGCTTAGAGCCAGGAGACGGACATACTATTTATTCATTTTTTTTTCGAATTTATGCCTCAAAGAGCTGCTTTTTATTTAACTTACTAATATTATAAATGCGAATGTTTAGATGGATGTGATGTGGATGGATGGGTATTTAAAGATATCTCTAGAACGGCTGAACGGATCTCGATTAAATTTGGTATACCTATAGAACATAGTCTGAAAGAACACATAGGCTACACTAATTATTTTTTTTATATATTCAAGCGGACGGAGTCGTGGACGACAGCTAGTATGTTTATAAGTATGTCAACTATTAATACATTATGATTCAGTATCCAAATATTCTAAACGCGACCTTGATTTTATAATAGATCGTTACGTAACGTTACAAAGTAACACATCCATCACTAACCGTTTTCTTCTATTCTTGTTCAGTTGGCACGTGCTTAATTGTGATAAGTGGACTCTCCTACATATTGGACGAGAGCCAACCCTCTCTGACACAAGGCCCAACTAAATTGTTCTCACTGTAATGCAGAACTGTTCATCTAATAAAGCACTATAAATTAACAAACACGTTAGAATAATATACAGTGTAATATCTTGCAGACCCCGAACTAGGCTGTTCCTATATCTCGGGGCCTTGGAGTGCATGGATGTGTTGGGCTATGTTTTACAACTATGCCAAATTTCAGTGAGATCCAAGCAGCAGTTTTTTCGATACCATCTAACAAACAAACATCCATCCAAACATTCGTATTTATAATATTAGTAAGATGTTAATGAACTTGAGGTATTTTTAATCTATCAATGAGTCAGCCAACAAAAGTATTAAACCGCTTTATCTTTGCTCTTACAATACCAGTTAATAATAATTATGGTACATTCCCATGCCTTTGTTTTGACATCAAATATGTGTATTTGATTATGTAAGCTGCAGTTCACACGCTGCTGGGAACTTTTAAGGTCCCCTGCATACTAGAGACTTTTAGGCGTCCGATAGGATCGTGCGTTTAATCAGTATGAGCACGTATGGAGGTGCACACTTTATACCGATTACGTCATAATGATTTAGCCCACGATCAAACTATCAGGCGATTTAAAGTCTAGTGTGTGGGGGCTTTTAATCATTAAGTACTTTATTATTAAGTGCATTTTTGTATGTTTATGGATTTTTAACCGGAGGAAAAGAAGGAGGTTATGAATTCATCTGCATTTTTTATCTGGGTTTATGTATGATAATTCTTTTTTTAAAAACCAAAACCGACTACGAATTAATAATAATAGTACAAGAAAGAAGAGAACTTTCTTATTTTCGTGAGTATTACATGATATTCATGTTACGTTTTATTGCATTTTGTTTAAGAATGTTTTTTAAGCCAGTTTATTTTTGTTATATTTTAAATCTAACTGAGTTTCGTCTGTAAGATTTCTTAGAGCTATATATTTTACACAACTAGTACAGTTTAGTTAATCTCGATGACATATTTCGGTTATGTATTCATCTATCAATCTCGTTTATCTTAAGATAATGTCATAAAATTGTCGTATCTTCTCTTCTCTTACATCAAACGTTTGTAAAAATAATACCATGATTGTTCTTAATGTTATCGTTTTAAAGTTGAAAATGAAATTACTTTGGTTTTGATTCGTTCTTTCGAAATAATAAATGTTGGCGATCCAAATATTTGCAATATTATTATTCATCTTTAAAGCATTTTTGTATGTTATGGAATATTAACAAATATATCACATTAATCGTGAATTGTTTATATTCTTTAAGTATTGGCTTCGAGTTCCAGACGACATGAATGTTAACCTTTTTTTTGGTATCGGGTGGAAATCTTTCTAAGATACCCTGCCTTTTGGGGGAAAGACTTATGTGAGATTCTTACTCACTAAAACCCCCTCGGTGGCCAACCTCAAGTGCGACTGCTAGGGTCCAGAGATCTCCAAAGGAACGCACCGGAACCCTCTGCACTGGGCTTCTGCACGACTCCAGGAATATACTTCCTCGTGCCTTCACAAGATTCGGCAACATCGGAACACGCAATGTTGCCGAATGTTAACCTACACATATCAATAATCAATTGGAATGTCTGTTTGTTACATCTAAAAAAACATATTTCATAGACATGATGCATTTGTGTATGACAACCAAATACCATTTATTTTATTTTGTCTGTCTGTATATCCGCAAGACCGCGTTTGTTCCGGGTAATCTCCGGTTTCGATTTTGACGACATTTTGACGGGAAGGTAGCTGATGTACACGGGAGCATTACGACAAGGTCGAGTCGAATAAAGCATGATATACTTTGACTATAGAAAAACGGACTAGATCTAGAGCCGCCATTGTACTAAATAAATTATGCCACTTTCCCAGGGGTTGAGGTGAAGTAGACATGACCATTATCTTTGTGCTTTTCGTTCCGACGCTTAAAATTACATACATAAAACGAACACACCAGTAAGAAACACTTATTGTTTGTTTTTATTTGTCTGTCTCTTAAAAGTCAAAGTCTGTAAAGTACAGACAGCATAAACCGTTATCAACAATCGTTTTCAATGTCCGTTAAACTTTCGCCCTTTGAATTGAATGGGAATTGATAAAAAAATGGGGTGAAACTGAACTTCACGGAACTGATAAGACGTCCCTCAAGCAGAATGATAATTCAACGCTTGAAGTACACCGTGAAAGCGAAACAGAAGCGAAGCGATTTTTCATATGCAACTACTGTGATGTGGTTAGTTCCTTACCTACAAATCTCTTATCAATAGTATCATGTGATTCTCATGAAAAGCAATACTGTAGAAAATTAAATCCATCGTTTAATCTAACCAATAATACATATCACTCATGATCTAACCGTGGGTTTCTCAGTCCAAAATATCTGTTTAAAACATATTGCTACCTCTATGTTATCAAAGATAAAGACAGGGATGACCGTATGTTTTATACAGAGATTTCGGTATCAGAAAGCCACGGTAAATATTTATAATTTACTTATTTTTATTGTCGTATTTCTATTGTTTTATTATCTTTTTATCCATTGAGGTAGAAACGTCCCATCGCATCTTGAAGTAGCAAATGTCAAAAGTCATACGCGATGAAACTACATGAGAAGCCACTGGGCGACCTTGGTCAAATATTGTGATTCTTGATGGAATGTACTAACGGTGAATTTCCACTGTTACTGGACTTGTTTCCTTTACGTGTCCTTTACGAGACCATTATATCATTCCTCACAATCCTTTGAAGAACACGGTAAGAGGCTATTCGAGAACAATTTCCATATCCAACTTGATCTGTTAGTGTTTAAAGCAACGATAATGTTCGATCCATCACTATTTTATAGTATTAATACTTAATCGATGATACGTATTTTTATAAATGTTTTCTTTGTAAGTACTCTGTGCCCTATCAAAATTTATTAAGTAACTGCAATGAAATTTGGACTTTATATCTAAGTGGAAGTAGGTTTAATATCAAATAGCACGAGTGGTGGACGTCGTGTGCCTTGGTTAGTCTGATTGAAGAGTCTAGCTTTTCCTGTACAACCGGTGACATACAAAATTGTCGTGTCAGAGTGGAGTCCGCGTGAATTACTACTGTGAATATCCGTAGGCAAATTCAATATTACTTTTGTTTTAACTCGCCGATATAAAAACGAATATTGGTAATTTTACAATCCTATTGGTATGGTAAAATAAATAATGTGGGTTTTTTTGGCTTTAAACGAAAAAAAAAAATAAGTTTAATAAAAAATGACCATGATCTTTCTTTAGATAAACTCCATCATACTTTGAGATAAGCCGCAATTATACGTTAAAAGAATAATTCTTATCAAAGACATATTTTCTGGAATAAAAATCGTATGCAATAAATCAGATCAAATATAGACTTACAAATTTCCTATATCTGACCAGTTGTGCACAAGTCAAACTAAATTAATGTTAGCACACTAGCGCCCTCACTGTCAGTGTCAAAAAGTATCACAAGATCCTATTCGTAACGTAGTATCTTGTCATATTACTTCTCTATCCGTGGGTTTCTTAGTATAAAATCCTCGTTGAAAATTGTTATCTCTTTTATGTTAGAGATGAAAGACAAGGATGACGATACGTTAATACAGAAAATTTTGATGTCAGAAATCCACGATATGCCGTAGTCATATTAAATCATTAACAAGACCTTCCCAAGACTAACATATATCCCTTTTGCTTCATTTATCAATGCCTAATTTATTACTTGACTAATTTTATATTGTCGAACTTCATATTCTTACTGTGACCTATAAGAAGTCGAGAAAGGTGACCTATACTCAAGCGAACATACAAGGCTTCTAGTTGTTTAAAAACATTCAACCGTCTTTTTATACCAAAAAAAAATTCAAGTCAAATCATGAAAGTTATTCACTAATTGACTTTATTTATTATTATATTTATAAATATTCAAGAAAGTATGTAAGCATTTCAATTATGTTAGAAAAATTTAGCTTTTTTTTCTTTCAAAGAATGTTAATTAATTTACAAAACTTTATAAGTGAAGTACTTAACAGTAACTTTCAACTTAAGAGCTATTCCACTTCAACATACATAAAATCTTATTGAACTAAATTCTAATTAGAATTGCGTGGCTTGAATGACGATATTTACATGAAAAAGTGAGACTGGATAATATTTGTAACAATCATTATATGACGCCGAACCAAATACAAATTAGGACGGAAAATAGTCAAATAAAGTTAGTTTTAATTAAAATAATTAATTGCAAATAAAATAATAAAACGACACTGCATAACGTTTTTATTTTGAACTTGTTAAATAGGGAAAATGTCAATGAGAGTAGGTTATTAGGGATCAATCCCGAATAATATTTGAGTAAAACCAATTGGTAAATATAATAAAGCAAGAACTATCGAGAAGAATTATGCTTTTATGACAGTTTTCCTTCTTTTACGCCTTTTAATCAATCGTTATTTTATTTACAGATCCTTTCTTGTTTATCATTGAAACAATCTAACAGTGGTAGAACCCGCTTTAACATCTTCGCACGATTGGTCCGGCTCGCCCGGTGAAATACCTCGACCAAACAGAAGACAGGCGTGAAGTGGAAGCAATTCCGCGTTTCGTCTGATGAGTGTGCGTCCCGGAGGCCTCATTTGGTCCTCTTACCCTTCCTACCCTTTTTCTTATAAGGAAAGGATGGGAAGTGGACTTTCCGGATGAAAGGATGCATAGGAAGGGAAAATATTTTCTTTCTGTGCATCCTCTCCTCCGTCGATTAAATGCAACGTATATGCAATTGTGTATGTCTATGGGCAACGGTCGCTTCGCTATTTCAGCGATTTCAGGTGGCTCGCTCGTTTGCCAACTTATGATATAAAAAAATCTAAAGATTTTTATAAGCCTACCCCTGCCGAAATGTATCCGTAGTGCACGCATTTATTAACTCTAAAGCTGACATTCGTATGTTATCAAAACATGCTCATATTTTAACTCTATTCCCAAAAGTCGTTATACAATGTACCAGAGACAAGCTATTATTAGTTCATTTCAAAATCAATCAAAATAAACCCATATTAGAGTCGTTGACATTGGGGCCTCAATTTAGGTAAACAAAGAATTAAATATTCCATTATATTAATTAGTTGACTACGACGAATAATAATAGATGTTTACTTTACTGTTGACTATAAAATATCGGTTAACGAAATATTTATTCTGTTTATCGTTCCATACCTCCCTCAAATTTTAAAGAAAAAAGTAAAAAAAGTCTCCTGTCATCATCATCAGGTAAGTTACGGGTGACTAGGCCATAGTCGACCACGCAGGCCCAGTGCGGGTTGGTTGACTTCACACATATCTTTGAATTTCTTCTCAGATATGTGCAGGTTGCATCACGATGTTTTCCTTCACCGTAAGAACGTCGGATAAATGTACATATGTAAATCGGAAATCGAAAAACACATTGATACATGGCGGGATTCGAACCCAGGACTTGCAGATCGCAAGTCAAGTGCTTGACCCCTGAGCCACCGAGACTTGCAAAAGTATTCAGTTAGTCCTGGAATTTTCCCTGCTACTTATATGCTATTCTAATTTGAATCACGAAAAAAAAGATACAGAGTTACCTTTATTTACATTATATGTATTTTATACTAGCTGTGCCCGCGACTTCGTCAGCGTGAAATTCTGTCTTTGGGTAGCATTTTAATTATTTAGGCAACTTATTTTACTTACACTAACACACATAACGACAAAAATTATTTTCATCCCCTATTATAATTTCGCACCCTTGAGGGTAATATTTTTACAAACATTGAATGTCATATTTACTTATATCACATTAATAGCCAAAAAAAAAATAAGTTACAAGCTGTTCTATCTGTAAAAATGACGATACTTCCATACAAATTTCAACCCCTTACAAACTCTTTTTCGCGTTAAGGCTATGGCCTTTCCCAGGCTCTATACTATCTGTGTACCAAATTTAATTTAAATCGGTTCCGTAGTTTTTGCGTGAAAGAAGGACAGACAGACAGAGTTACTTTCGTATTATTAGTAAGGATATTATTTTATTCTCGTGTCAAAATATACCTTAATATACCAATGTACAAATTTGCGCATACTCGTTTTATGTTGTCACTGTTTACTTTGAGGTTTTTTACAACGGAATTTAAAGTGATCAGACCGTAGGTATGTTAAAATTCTCGCAGCTTAAATCGAAGCGTAAGGTCCATCGTAAATAAAAGACCATTAAGCATTTGAGACATACTTATAAAAACACTCAGACATTTCGATGACCTCAAAGAGATCTAACCTCTAAATGTTCAAAAACGACGAATAAAAAATTGTTTTTATTACCACCTTCCTAAACATCACGTACCTACGTTCTCAATTTATAATACGTGATGTAACATGACCGATATTGTCACAATTAATGCGAGGAAGTAATAATATTAGTAATTACCTTAAATAATGTCACTGCCAACTAAACAATTTAACTTAATTAAAGTTAAAAACGAATGTCGCAAAACAATTTCATTTTTCATTTTAACGTTTTTTTTGTATTTACTAATTAATTTAACATTAACTAATTAGTAAAATTAATAACATTATTACTGTAATTTATTTAACAATAAATTTAAGGTATTTAAAAAAAAACAAAGGTTTACCTTGCGAAAATCACGCGTGCTTGTGCATCGTTTAAAAAATATCCATTTATACACAGAAAGATACACTAACTAAAACAGAATTAAGTTTACTAAAATAAATTTCACACAGAATTAAATTTGAAAATAATTAACATAGCACTAGATTTGTTTATAAATATTGACACGATTGCGCAGTCGTGTGCTGTGATACGAACAAGACAGCACGTCCGTTCACGGCGATGTTCGCGGCGTTACTGTCAGAATGTTGGATATCGACCTACGGACGACAATGAATGGAGGGCCAGCCAGCAGTCAGATCCGCAGTTTGCCGCTGCAAGCTCTCTACTGCAGTGCAGCTTTATTTCTGGCATCGGCAATTGGCATCACACGTTACCGCACCGAAACACATTTCTCTACACGACATCGAGACATGTCGAAAATTGTGCCAACAATTAGTTAAATGCGTGTCACGCAAACGATGACCCCGTTCTCAACTCACATCCCCTATTTCTAGTTATGTTGAATTACTTTAACAAAACTAATTTGCTTTAGAACCTCTCAGTATGGACCAAAAAGACATTTGACAACCAAAACCAAAAAAGATTTTCCAAGACTACCTTTGTACCCCTTTTCTTCGCGTTTCCTTGACGAATTTTTCTTCGATTTACAATGTTTTGGCTGAGTATTTAAAATAAAATAACTAAATGAAATTGTATGCTGTAAATATAAAGCTTTTCAATCATCCATTAATTATTTTTTACTAAAGATTTACCAAAAATTGAGAGATATTATGGAATTTAAACATATTATATTGAGAATTCTTACGATTTTTTGTCGTTTTAAGAATAACAGTCTTATTTAATTGTGGAATAATAAAGGATTATAATAAAATAGACACGATGTCTACTACACTGTTACATTGTTTGCTCTGCGTAATTCACAACGAAGAGGGGACCGCGCATGCGCGAGCGGACACGGTCGACCTTGCTCTCACGTTTGTCTCTACGGTTCTGTACAGACCTCTAGAGGTTAAGAGTCCATGGCCAAATTATACATACTTTTAACTAGCTTGTATGCGACTATTTGAGGAAGCTATGTCAATAAATCTAGGGTGAATAAGGTTCACAAGATTACAGGCTTCAGATTTTGTTATTTTAAAACATTTGAAAATGTCGTTGTACTCGTTTTCTTGGTTTCTTTATGTTGAAGTTTGGAACAACAACGAAGAATGAATATTAATGTAACACTAAGTGCAAAGTCTTAAAGACTCCATCCAACATACATCTTCTGTTTCCTGTCACTGACGAAACATCCATATAAAATATATTGATGTGTTTTTCCGAGTGAAAGAATGATACAACATGCCTGTCTCCATAAAAAAAACTGTTTAAGACATATTGTTATCTCTGTTTCGTCAATAATAATGACAGGGATGACGATATGTTTAATACAGAGATTTCGGTTTCAAAAACCAACGGTAAGTATAGTTGTTGACAGGCAATTACGTCAAAATGTGTTGAAAGATCAATATAGAGAAACGTGATTGAACGGTAAACGTGGACGACCATGACAGATCCATTCATTGCCAAGGGCAGATTTATTTATACCGCAGTTAACTGCCACGGTTAAATGAAAATGATACGATCATTTAAATTACAGTTGTTACACGTTGAATGGAATTATTACCATTGAAAAAAAATGTCTAAAATATTGTCCTCGACTTTTGTAAAGCAAAATATTTTTACAGAAGAAAATACAGAGTTAATTTATAAAATGTTATAAAGACTTGGACTTAACAACAGTCCAAAAAAGTGTTAATTTGTTAACAATTAAACTATTTATAATGGACTCTTTAGATACGCGTTCATCGGCCGTGACGGACGCACCGCACGCACGGATTAAACGAATTTGAGGATGATGATGCATCGCTATTTAAAATCATAAAAGCTAACTAAAATTCTTCGCGGTCTATACGTTCGGTGCGTCAACGCAGGCCAATGGTCGCGTACCTTTATGAAGTTTTCGTTTACGTCATCAATTTCGTGGTAACTTTTGAATTCCTTCGTTGTATTACAATTCATTCATTGTGCTTGGCTCACCCACCTGTCTAGGCAGCGGGCACGCTTCGGCATACGTGACTAGCTAGCTGGTAGTTTCGTTCACCATGCCCTCATGCGTCAATGCATGTCCCTACTGAATGAGTTTCTTAATTTATTATCCTACTAGCTGTTACCCGCGACTCCGTTCGCGCGGAATTAAAGAAAAATTTTATTAGTAGCCTATCAGTTCTTATGTTCTACATCTAAGGCAAATTCCATTAAGATCCTTTGATCCGTTCTGCTGATACATGCATTCATTCATACATCCAAACATTGGCATTGGTAATATTAGGAAGATTGTTTTATTATTTTTATCACTCGATATTGAAATGATTATAGTATTGTTAGATTATAAATAGTTAACAGTCAGAAGCCTTATAACATTATCGAGGTGATTATGCCAAGGTTCATCATCATCATCATGTGATAATGATGAATAATGTTATTCAATGTACCAACTCATAATAATTTTATCAACCTGATTGGTGCCCGACTACAGTACAGTGGTTAAGAGTTGTAAAGTTGTTGAGAGACCTTGGAATAAAAAAGCAGAATCTATTATTCTGGCGTCTAAAAAATCTATTTTCCGTATTGTTTTTTTAATATTTGAAGTAGGATCTAGTTTACTGAATTGAAATGTCCCGTTTGTTAAGATGGATGATTTTTGTATTGTGTAAGACTTCTATTTATTAGTTTACGTTATATGTTTGTTTTCTAATATTTAATGTATAGCAAGTTCTTGTCTACTGCCGTATATGTTTTTGTATTGCTATGACGACACTGAATTGGACATTGTGACTGGGCCATCGCCATTCCGGTGACAATCAGCATCCACCTCGCTAAAGGAAGTATGCCATTTATAGCGACTATTTTAAACTGTCCAACCCACATGTGACGTCTGCGTGGGCCGATATAGAGCTCTTTTATATTTTACCTATTTGTCTACGCTATTCTTGAGACTTTAAATTAGTATGACGTAATTTGAGGTTAGAAATCGGATGTTAGTAGACTTTTGAGTCAAAAGTGAGATTTTGTGCGAGAATAACTAAATTATATTGCACAATATACTGTAACTCCCACCTAAATATGTAACTTCCTGGCTGCCTCATTAGACTAATACTGTAATTTGAGTCCAAAGTGTGTGGAGTTGAATTATCGTTAGTGCGTAAGTTCGCATTAACGACTTTGTTATGTTCATCTAAATTGGTTCTTATGACTTCACATTAATGTGTTCTAACTAATTTCAGTCTCATTTGCATTAGTTGCGAGTTTTTTTTATATCATAAGGTGGCAAACGAGCGAGCAGCCACCTGAAATCGTCGAAATGGCGAAGTGATCGTTGCCCATAGACATACGCAATTGCGTATGCGTTGCCTACCTTTAATCAACGGAGGAGAGGATGCACAGAAAGAAAAGATTTCCCCTTCAATGCATCCTCTCATCCGGAAAGTCCACTTCCACTTCCCATCCTTTCCTTATGAGAAAATGGGTGGGAAGGGAAAAAATACTAAATTAGGCCTCCGGGACGCACACTCATCAGACGAAAGGCGGAATTGCTTCCACTTCACGCCTGTCTTCTGTGTGATTAAATGTAGTTAATTCAAATAAGTCATCTCCTCTTCAGTGGACGTTAAAGTTACTAATAACTTTTTGTTCATTTCAGCTTATATAATGGTATAGCTGTGCTAAGAAAGAAAGGAGCAAATTGACGACTTCTTCACAAGAAGTTACAGACGGTTAATTTTAGTATGACAAAAGCGGACTAGATAAGGAAAAGGGGAAATGATTAACGAGGAATTAGTTACGTCTTTAACCCCTACTGATTTTCCCGACGCGATATATTCAAGCTAGCTTGAAATTAACAAGGAAAAACATAACATAAAATACAAATGTTTTTCGAAAACGCCGAGGTATTTTGCGCTCGCTCGGACGCGGAACTGCTTCATTGTTTCAAACTCAGCAGCTCGGCAAAATGCTGTAAAATGTATGTTGAAAAAACGAGGTCACTCTCAACACTAATAACAAGAAAGTTTTGCGAACTTTGCTAATTAAAAAAATATTATTTTCTGCGCTGCGTAGATTAACTAGCACAGAAACTATTTTTAATTTTTGTAATGCAACAATAAGAAGAATTAGCATTGAGCCATTTTTTAAAATAACCCACTTAACATTATTTTATATCTATGAGTTCTGTCAAATTGCTCCATCTATAGGCTATAACTGATATTGTATAAATTAATGTTCTATATTGATTGTGGTATTTATAAATTAATTTACTCATAGTATTAATATTTCTCACAGAGTTTAAGATCATGATGTAATGGTTAAAACAGGCTTCGCATAAACGAACTTATCTTTGAAATTCCATACCAAGAACCAGAAAGTGCATAAACTGCAACCATTTTATGATTAAAAGAAAACAACGGCTAATAAATAGTTAATAAGCTATGTACATAGCATAGTAGCAAGCTATATACAGTAAAAGCTATGTGGTCTTTGCACATTCATGTAGGCCTAAAAGTTATGAAACTGCGAAAAACACAATGGCTCCTGTTGTTTTAGCTTCTCTTTAACTAAAAGCTGAAAAGTGTTCCCTCTCAGCGGAATGCAAGAACAATGCGCAAGGCAAGAGGCCCCTTTGTGTATGGTTGGCTTTGATAAAAGAAATGTTCATTTGTGAGAAAAGTGTTCACAAATACTTTCCAATGCTGCACATTTCACGTTATAAGACAATAAGGTTTTTAAGTAATTATTCTTTTGGTTGTTCGATTTGATTTTTATTTTAAACATACGGCAAATCGGAAAGTGAAGGACCGCATATTGTAAAATATATTGGGGAAGGTACTGGGTAAGGCCTGTTCCAATACAGACTGATGATGATAGTAATAGATCGGACACAAAAATCTGGCACGCAAATTTTTAGTTTTTATGTTAAATTGTAAAATTTTATTATTTCTAAAGTATTAAGGGTTTCATTTTATAAAAGTTTTATTTTGTGATTACAAAAAAAAAACAGCTTGTAGTCAAAAGATGGCAATATATTATTAAATAATGTCAAACTCAAGGTTTGACAGTAAAACTCTGAGTGAAACTAAATGAAAATGAAAACAAAATATTTGATTTCTTGATTTTGTATTAAAGGAATTGTGTACCATAATTATTATTTTTTTTAAACCGTAAATTTTAAAATGCTTTGTTTGTTTCATTATACTAAATGAGTGTAACAAGATTGTTTTAAATAAAAGGATCTAAAAATGATTCAAGAAAACGTTCGTCAGGATTTACTTGCTTTTGTGCCATCCTCAATTTTAGGAGAAGTAAAATGTTTTGTTTTCTATGATAACCATCCAAGAGCCGATAGACAAATTGATGTTTTAGTTTGTACACAACGGAAAGAAGTGATAGAGTTTTATAAAAGAGAACAAATTTCATCATTACTGTTAAATACTTCACAGAATTTTCGTGAAGTTCGATGTTTTAGAAATGTGAATTGCGAACTTTTTTATTTTGTTGCTACGGACGATGAACTTTTTATAGTATCGAGCAAAAATAGTTTAGATCTTGTACACAGATTAACAGATGTTGATAGTTTTGAAGTGTTTGATATTGGATGCAGTGGCAAAGCTTGTTTAAAAGTGATTTCAAAGGATGACGCCGTGCCCTTGCTTTTTGATGAAAACTTCAAAATTATTAGTGAAAGAAATATTGAATTTGATGCTGTAAATTCAGATGAGTCAGCTCCAATCATAATGCAGCTGACTAGAAAACTAAAAGAAGTAGAATACAATATTAAATGCAATGAAAACAAATACAATGAATACTTAAATTTACGAAAAATGGCCACATTCCATTTATACCAGAAGATTTCTCCTAACCTAAATGAATCTCTATTCAATTTAAATTCCAAAGAAGTAAGTTTAATTTACAAATAAAATAAAAAAGAATAATTTGTCTACTGTAATAACATCCATAGAGACATAGCAAATCATGTTGTTGAAATATTGTCAGCTGAATTCTTTCTTACTTATTGATAATTCCATAATATTTACTGCCGACACATTAGGTTTATTTATAGTATCAAATTATTTTAAGTAAATAATAAAAAAATATTTTCCATTTCAGATAGTTTCTTCTATGAACTTAAAAACATGGAGCCCATGGATTAAATTGTGTAATAAAAAGGTTGTTGTTGCTTTTAACTTGTTAAATAATAATAATGTGTAAGTCAAATTTGCTATCCATACTCTTAATTACAATATTAGCTGTCTCCCGCAACACTGTCAATGTCATATTGAAAAAAAAACTTAATTTGTACCCTATGTGTTCTTTTAGACTATGTTCTACATCTATGCCAAGTTTCAGCGAGATCCATGCATCCTTTCTGGAGATACCTTCAAACAAACATCCATCCAAACATTTGCATTTATTTTATTAATTAGTAAGATAATCATTATTGTAGTAATTAGGCTATCATCTAAACCATGTATAGAATATATGAAGTGTTAATCAATTAAGAGTTTTTTTTTCAGATTGCTCGAAGATGTGTATGTTCTGTTAAACAGTACTACAAAAAGGTCCTTAGTCTATATAACTAAACTTTTTCATCAAACACAAGATAATTGGTTGGAAATTGAACAACATATAAAACCTAATACTACAGTGACAGTTGCAACATGTATTGATCTAAAAGAATTACAACATGATGCGACCAGTGGTTTAAAGTTTGATATGGTTTTAAGTTTTAAAAAATCTGGAGAAAATTATCTACTGCCATTTGAAAAAGTTTCTATCTCGGCATCGGATGTTATGGGAGAAAATTTTGATGTTCTTGCAAGTAATAAGGGTAATTATTGTATTTACTTACTACTACAATTTACGTAGGATTAATATATAGGATATAGGCTTAGTATAATATGATAAAGACGACATAATCACACCTGTAATCCAGAGGGGTAGACAGAGACTATGGCCCTCTATTGGGAAGAAAAAGCAAAGGGAATAACAAATCATTACTGAAATATGGTTTTTGTATACGAGGAACAGCCGAGCCAATCTATAAGTAAACACAAAAGAATAAATATTTTTTAAATTCTCACATATTTTAACAAAAATATAGTAAAGTTACCATAAAGTTAACATTTTCCATTTTACAGATGAACAACAAACCTTTTTATCTATATGTGCAACATCAGAAACAATGACATTAGTACTACGTCATATTAAAGATGAAAGAGAGGAAACACTGGTTGATATATTCAGCAAATATTTGAAAATGGAACAATTTAAAACAAGAAAAAATGTTTTTATACATAAATCATCACCTTATCATGCACTTTATGGCATAATGGTGATATGTCAAAATGGTGATGTAAAATACAGTGATAAGTTTACAATAGAAGTACATTCAAGGTAAATCTTACAGACATTTGCTTATTATGAGTTTATTTGCATGTGAATTATTTTCTACAAATATATTGGATACCTTTAATCAACGGAGGACGGAGACACACAGAAAGAGAATATTTTCTTTTCCTAAGCATCCTCTCATCCGGAAAATCCATTTCCACTTCCCATCCTTTACTTTTAAGAAAAAGGATGGGAAGGGAAAGAGCACTAAAATTAGTCCTCCGGAATTCTAAACATGTAATTCAAATGGGATTTTTTTTCCCATTGGGCCAGTCATTGTTATGTCAATCAGCTCACACAATCAGATAATTATTATTCTTCTCAGTTATCATCCATCTGTGCCTTTTCACAATTATTTGGGGTCAGCCTTTCTTGTCTTTATTCTCCAGAGAGCTTGATTACTGGATTCTTGTTGGTCTAGGCCGATTTCTTTCATTTATTTTAAGTAACTTCTTAATTTCAGTTTTATTAATGTCATATTTATCTCAAATTACAGATGTCAGTCGCAAATAGTGTCTTTAATTCATTACATCAACGATGTTGTACCATTTAGAATTATAGTTACAACGCCAAATTACAAAATCACATCTGATACAACGGAATTAACCAATTATAATGAGGAAATAGTTGACAATGAACAAAACATAAATTATATGCAATTAGCTTCGTCTGCTTTGAACCAAACGTCAATGTTATTAGAATATCTTGATTTGTGTATGATTCAAATGAATATGAGTAAAGATTATACGATATTAAATAAAGTTGGCAGTGAAATTGATTTATTTGCCTGCGGATTGGACAAATTTATAGAATTCAGAAACAGATTATTAAAAGAAGTGTACACTGGTATACAAAAGTGTGGAAATAATAATGATTTATTACTTTTAAGGCAAAATTCAGTTGAAATTATAGATGATGAGATGTAGTTTTTCTAAGTGAAATAAATATTTTTAAGTATGTTCTGATCTCTTTTAATTATATATTTCTTAGATTAACAGGTTGTTTTTTTATTTGTCTTATGTTGGAACTTCATAAAATTAAGGAAACAAGGAACTAACAGGAAATATAGGAATTATTTTCATATGAGTTTAAAACATAAAATACAATTTTAAACAAAATTGATATTTTATTATAAAACATTACAAATTCTCTCAAAATATTTACATTTTTAGGATTTTCTTATAAATTAATCTACATTTGCTTTCGAGTTTGATGACACTTCTTCTTCTTTTAGTTACTGGTGGACTCCATCGTTTATTTTTGATGACACTTATTTTGACATATGTCATCCCTTACATTTTCTTTGAAAAAGACAGAGACAATAATATGTGTCAAATCAAGTTGATGCAGTCAAAACCCAATAATAGAAGCATACACGATAAGTAGTCACAATCTTACTTATAAATAATATAAATGCAAATGTTTGGATGGATGTATGTTGTTATCTACTCCAGAACGGCATCCATAGATCTGGATGAAATTTGACGTAGATCTAGAACATAGTCTGATAAAACACAGGCTACTTTTGATCCCGAAAATTTCTTAATTCCCAGAGGAATATGTTATATGAATATGAACCGGTATTATTAAAACGTTGTTATTAAAATTAAAAAAAAAATCTTGATAGTTTTATTTCCTTCACCGTGTATCACCACTCATCTAACGAAAAGAGTTATATCTTTTAAAATATACTATGAGATGTAACTTTCTTCGTTGGTTTTTAAAATACAATAAGAATATTCATTAACGCATTTATCAATTATTATGGTACAAATTTATTTTATATTCACTAAACTATTTGAATAAAAATACTATATTTAAATAATAAAATTATCTTAAGTAAAAAATTAAAAGTACTTGAGCAGCACAAATTAACTATAATAATTTGTAGCACTATTTTAAATATTTCGTAATAATTTTAAATATATTTCTTAGTATTTTATAGCACCTTAAAGGCAGCTTTTATTGTCCTAATATATTTGTTTTTGATTTTTTAATTAACAAGTAAATAAATAATATTTATTATATTTATAAAAATTAACCCACAACCGATATGTAACCCGTTATAGTTGACAACAAATAATCTGACGTTACAAGCTTAGTTTGACGTCACACGCTTAATCTGACGTCACAAGCTTAATCTGACATCATCAGCTTAACCCTTATGTTCATTTTGTATAATATACTATACATACAACTTTATAAATATATATGATCATTTTAAATTAATTTTTAACTTAGTTTTATTAAACATATGACATTTCTAGACGTTTTTTGCTTTTCTTCAAAAAAGAACTCTTGCCACAATAAGGGTTAATCTGACGCAACAAGCTAATCTTTTTTTAAATATTATTTAGAAAAATACTGCGATATAAAATATATTTAACTATTTATTCTGAATTTAGACTAATGCGTCAGAATTGGTGTAGTAAATAGATTATTTGTTTTCAACATTGTTATTCCTAATTGTAATTAACGTGCTCTCACACAGATTATATAACAGACAGGACATGTTTAACAAAGTCCTGTCCGGAGCACAAACTATTCGTCAGGTACTAGGAAGCAATTTATTGCCGCCTGACTCTTATTATATTTACAATTTAAAAACTAAATTAGTTATAAAAAAAATAAGGTTATCAAGCACTTATAAACTCCTCAACCAACCGGCACCGTCTCGCCTAGCTAAACATTTATAAATCAGCACTGAGTTGGTTTAAATGTTCAGCTCACATAAATTTCAACAACTAAATTGGCAGCTCACAACTCAGTGGAATGTAACATAACTATGTGAGCCGCGAGCTGCCAGGTGACTCGCAGTTCAGAGCTCCAAACGCAAATCACTATGCAGGAACACTTCGATCTGAGCTGTGAATCGGTTCACTGATCTGCTTCACACATGTGAGCTGCTGATCCGCAGGTCAAAATATTAGTTGAGCGACCCATGTTTTGCTGATTGAGTGAGTTAAAGATATAAATTTGTTAGTAAAAATGACGCTGGCACAGTTAGCTGATGTTAACCGTCTAATCGCTTTCAGCTTGACCACCTGTGTTACGTAGAGGTTGTAAGTGCGTGATAACCTTTATTATAGTATAGTATAGTGCCAGAGACTATGTCACTAACGATCTTCGTTTGTAATCACTAGGAATTTTTTGATTGTAATATATTGGAACTGAACAACTTATAGAGTGTTTCTGAGACCAAAATTCCTTTTGAAAACATATTTTTTGTTGTGTATTGTATTGCGTTTTGTCATAGATTGATGACGATAGTTTTTATACAGATTTTGATCTCATAAACCCACAATTAATTTCTAAAATACATTTATAACTAACTACTATTAAACAAAAATAAAATCACACATATGATTCCTAAAGATAAACAGAAAAAATTTAAAATTAATTAAAAAATAATTTACATACAACAAAATAATTAACAAAATAAATTATACAGTCAAATTGAAAAAAAAAATTATACTATTTCATATAAAAATATGAATTTTATCTAATTCTATTATTGCATTGCACTTCCGGCCATTAATTTCTACTTAAAAATAAAAACTTATTATTAAATCCAAAAACTTAACGTTAAATAGAGGTATATGATATATTAATGTTAATTATAGTAATTATTGCACAAATTATTGCACAGTTTCTTATCACTTATTGCACACACTTATTATTATTTATTTTAAATTAAATAATATTTGTATCTATCGTTTAATTTCACGTAAACTATTTCTAAATGTCTGACTACTATTTGAATTGTCATCACTTGATGGCAACTTTCTAAAACTTCCAAAATACACTGAATGCGTCTCTGTACTTTCAGCACCGGATTCACTCCTCGCTTCGTTTTCAGTATCGTCTGTATCACTAGCATTAACTATTTTAGCTATCACTAATTTTCTATTTATTTGTCTAGAACATGTAGAGTCACTGCTTAGATAACCAGAATCGTCTATATTACCCTTTTTTCGCCTATATTTAGTTCTATGACCATCATCTTTACCCCGAACGAAAGTCCCAGTGTCTATATTACTGCAACAATTTCTACCAATTCGTCGATTTGAATTCCTGCAAACACTAGTTTTTGGCATAGTCGGTATACAATTTGCGGTGGAAGGCATATGGTCATATTGACCACATTCTGAAGTTGATTGGACAGAAGCTCTCATTGGACTGCAGGATGATCCATAGTTTAAATCTCTATTAGGATTAGGTTCTGCCAATGTGGTAATTTGTTTCGGACTGAGGCTTCTGGTTTTCGAGTTTTTTGAATACGATCCTTCAGTTGTTCTATCATTTTCAACTCGTCTAGCTGGAATTATTGGTTGCTCGTACAAAGATGAGTCTTCGGTTGGTGGTAATGGAGGCAAAATATCAGGTCTAGCTAAGTTTTTTAACTGTTTTATTGTGGGTGGTGTACATTGGCGTTGTCTTTTAGAATGTCTATATTCTAAGGTTAATATTCGACCTTCTTCTGGGTTCCATCCACTATCATCCCATGTATCATCATCTTCTATGGGTTTAGTTCCTGTATCTGAGGTAACCTGACAATTTTGTACGGTTTCATTTTTTAAACTGTTAAATTTTGCTGTATATTCAACTTGATTTGAAGTTTTTTTAAAGGTACCACTGCTCCTAAGTTGTATTCTTTGGGGCTGTTTATCATTGTTCTCGATAGTTTCAACTAAATCTTTTCGACTAAACTGAATATTAGGTATAAAATCTTTATTCTTAGGATGTTTACGATCTAATGTATCCGGCTCAAAACCATCAGATTCGTGAATCTTTATGTAGTTCTCTGGTGGATCTTTTACTTCGATGGTTAAGCAACCTGGTTTTTCTTCACCGTTTTCCAATTGAGTGAATTTTCTACTTCCCATAGAGCAGTCTGAACCACTAGGAGTAGTTGGTGTACTGCCGAAATTATAATTATTGTTAACGTACACTTCGCTTACTAAACTGTAATCGCTTTTCTCTTTTGGATTATTTTTAATTTCTATAGGATTAGGAGAAGTGGTAGGTATTTTTTCAATTATTTCATAATGATTTTGATCCGTACACATATCTCTTTGCGGTGAAGGAGTATTGCTATTACTACTTGAATTCGTTTTATATACAGCATTTCTCATTGTTAGTTCCTCTTCTAAAGGTAAAGCGTTGCTTAAACTGGGACTTGCTTGTGAAGAAGAAACTTCTGGGTAATCGGTTGGTGTTAAAATTCTCTTTTTGTTAGTCGTTCTTTCTAAACTATCAGTCTCGTAATCGTTACCATTCGGGCTGTCAGATTTATGTCTTGTTAATGTGCTTTGACCATCAATATTCAATGATCTGGTCATAAATTTCTCTTCATCAGAACTGCTAGTATTTTCAGATTTCGCACAGTGTTCTAACGCGATAGCTTCATTTACCATATCTGGTAATAAATTTTTATTATTTAGAATTTTATTTCTACGCTGTAGTGTTTTGTAACTCCTTGAACTGCCTGATCTATAGTCATTCAAGGGGAAATCTTCTATAGCGTTTGTCTGACATTGATTGATGTGGTCACATTCAACATTGTTGAAGTCAGGTAATGGTATATTGTAGTTTCTTGATGGTTCAGATCTGACAGAACGTGTTGAAGATCTATTAGATGCGTGAACATGATCACTTGAATACATAGAGTTACATGATGAAAAGCTTCCTTGTTTTTTAATTCGGCATCTATTTTCAATATTAGGTAAAGATAAAAGAGATTCTGATAAATTTTGACTATTATCAGATATATCGCTGTACATCTGTTTTCCATTAGGTATATTTTCTAACCATTTGCGTATGCTACTTTGTTTATCACCTTTTGTATTAAGACAACCGGTACATTTTATAACGTCAGTTTTCATGTGATTTTTCGAATCACTATTAGTACATCCCGGACAACCGACACAATTCACTGATTTCTTTCTACTATTCTCTCGTTTAAGACTTAATATACTACCGCTACGTTGGCTTCCTAAACCGTGATACAAATCTAAGCTATTCCCAGAATAAGTCTCTTCTTCGGGTATTTCATTTAGAACAGGATGAAAACGTTTAGCAGCCATTTTGTGTTTTGCTATTGAAATAACTTCCCTTATTTTTGTTAGAAATTCAAGAGCAGCTGGGGGTGGTTCCTGTAAGGTAATTAAAATTCTGTTCATTTTAAATCCCATCTTATAGTAAGAGCTATTAGTTTAATACTTACAGCCATTAATTGTGGTTCAAAGTACGCTGGATTGAAGTATAGTTTCCGTCGTGTGGTGCCAACAGGTCGTGTTATTTCTCTATCATCTATTGTCTCAACTATAGATACGTGTTCGTCGGGTAGTTTTTCAATTCCTGATTCATCTCGGTGAGCAACATCTGTATCATTTTGATGTCTCATTTCTCTACTTTGGAGATGAACGACCGCTGATGTAGTTTGTTTCTGAAAATAATAAGAAAATTTAATTATTTGGTTCACAGCACAATGCAAATAATCTTTATCTGTTACATACTTTGCATACGTTTTCTTCGCTTCGTGAACTACTGCCGGCGAAGTCATCAGAATCTGATACATTACTACCAGAGTCACTTGGAAACCCACCCTTGTCATGGTACTGTCTACTTAATAAAGGATTTTTCTTAATAACACCATCATCTTGTCCGAGAACATTTGGTAATGTTTGTATACGTTCATTATTAATTCTTACTATGTCTCGTTCGGTTAGGATTTTGCCATCTTTGCTCTTTATACTTTTAAGTTTTCTTGCATTATTTTCTTCGGAGGCTGCTTTTCGACGTTTTCGTATGTGTAGATATAAGAAAACTGATGCAACGTAAATAAGACCGAGGAGTAGAGAACTAATTCCTATAACTACGTATTCAGTAACAGTTAGTCCGGAAGTAACGACGGTGCTTGCAGTTTGTGCATTCGGTGCGAACTGAACTTCAGTTATATCTGAAAAGATAAGTTATACTAACTTTCAGTTTATTCTAGTATGATATAGGTCATGTAGTTAACAAAAGCAATAAAAAATCAACCTAATATCCCAAAATTATATTAGCTCTATAGAGAACTATAGTTATCAGCTGTAAGTTTCGAGCCAATTAGTTAAAAAATAACATACTGCTAGGTGATCTGATGGGTGTGCCTTGTACTCTGAAGGCTACACATGGTGTGAAGACGCCACGTAGATCCAGCGGTGATGCTGGAGTGGCTGACACGTCGCGGCACAACAAGCGTACCACTAGTACCCGGCCTGACATTCGCGTACGCAACTCATCCTCGCCGCTCCACTGGGAATATCGAAGCACTTGTATAAATTCATATTGTCATCCCTCTCATTCTCTTTGAAGAAAACAGAGACCACAATATATGTCAGTGTTACCCCAGCAGTATTTCACGTTGATACATGGGCATAAATACTACTGTACTCAAGGTTCAGGGTTACTAAGTACCAATAGGTCAAACGATTTTGAGGGCCTGAGTTAGATTTAGAGGACGGTTTTATAAACATACAGTGGTCTCCAGTGATATGTTTAGTAGAAGTTTTTTTGGATGATGGTTACAGGGTGTTCAATTGGATCAAGATTTAAAGTTCTTTTTGTCAATCACATCTTTTGTTATAATATAATGTGTCAAAAAATAGATTCTAAAATTTCAACAAACCTGCAAGAACGTACGACCTTCATCTCGGAAAAGGCTGAAGGGGACGTCAGCGTCGAGCGTGTTCCGTAGATCTACGAAGCCTTTGCGCGTGAGAAATTGCGCACCGGACACCGCGCATATCGGAGTTTTGACATCTGAAGTTAGTAGTAAAGTTTATATAAAAAAACCGGACAGGTGTCTGCTGTACAAATAATTAAATCCATATTAACTGATTGTTATAAAAATCAAAGTAAATTAATTATAAGTTACTTTTGTATCTCATGTTATCATTTAAATAAATTGTATCATCCTGTACTTACTATGAAAGTTGATCTCCCTGGACGGATGTATAATTTGACCCTTTAAAGGTAAATATACAAATGGTATGCGTACGCCGACACCGGTACCGAAAGTCGCCAAAGAGCATTCTGTAATAAACCAATTTATGGATGTTACGAGAATAAGAAATACAAACATTTGAGTTATCGTCGTTTATCCTTCGCGGTCGCCATGTTTGTTAATTTTATTGAACGTCATTTGTAAAGGAATTAAGTCTAATACCGCATTATTTGCATTACAAGGTTATTTTTTTAATATGGAACGTTATTGCCTCGTTGCAAAAGCGCCCACAACAACGTTACAGTACCTAATTTGCTGATATTTCAAAGAAATAATGATAATAAACACACATTGAATGTTTTCGAAAAATTTATGATGAATTTCGTTTTGTGATTTTGGGTATTAATATTACTGTAATACCTCCGCTGTGAAATATTATTTCGGTATTAAGATACAGTTTGACATATTTGAGTAATAATAAAAAATTCTTCATAATACATTGTGACAAACTGCTAACGGGTAAACCTTATGCAATCTGCAATTTACCTAAATGTTAAGCAACAAATGACCTACAACAACGTTCATTTTCACGTTTAGAGTATTGTCTTTTTCATTGTCAATCCACAATAGATGATAGTTACCTGGTAGATCATCAACGCATAGTTCCCGGTCCTCCCTGAAGAGCGGCGCGCGCTGGGGACAGGCGCAAGCGCATTGCGTACCCGGCGGCCGGGGAGCTGCGCCTGCGCCATGCTCCGCGCATTGCGCTGCACCGCACTCCCCTAGCAAAATGAAAGACGGAGGTTATGGCAGTTTATATTTATCTAATTAGGCTAATTAGGAACTGAATAAGGTTTAGAAAGGGGTGCACCGGAAAAAAGTATGATAATCTCTGTCATAAACTATAGTAAATAAAGAAGACTAAGATATCTTACTTATAAGTGTGAAGACGTCGCCTGTGTCGGTGCGCGCGAGGTCGCCGAGCGCGGCAGACGCGGCGGGCCGGCCCAGCGACAGCGCTGCCAGCCAGCCTAGCAGCAGCACCGCCATGCTAGCCGCCCCCCGCACCGCCGCCTGACCACCGCATCGCGCATCCCGCACCTTAAATGACGCATTTATAAAATATCAGTTAAATACCGTTGATATGTTAGATTAAATATTGTGTTAACCCTGTAACCACTCAGAAATCAACGATAAATAACAGAACTCTGAGAAATTTTGATGTCAGAAACCAACGATTCGTCTTCTATAGCAAAGGAAAAGCAAGACACATATATCTGATACATACAACGGTTATTCTGACCGATAAAATACGGTTTCGATCACGTAGTTCTAACGTTACGTGTTACATTTACAGCTGCATGACAACGGTGATATATCACATCTCTATCCTGTTGTCACTTTACACAAGTTTTTTCCTAACATTTCGCGTACTGCAGTAAAATTTCGAGCTTTCGCATGTATCTGCGTGAAAATGTAAGATTCGTGTGAAACTTCATATTTACGTAGGTATTAGGTACTAGCTGAGAATAAACACATTTATAGATATTATGAATAATTTTGTATTCTATTTTTAACTTAGATAATTACCAAAAATTTAAAGTACAGTCTGCAAAAAAAATTCTGTATTTAAAGTACATATCATATTTGTTCGTAAAACAAATTAAGTAAATACAAACACAGCGATCATCTAGTCTATTCATTTGACATGTGAATGAAAACGTCGAGCAAATTGTAACACGATCCGAGTGAAAGCTCACGAGATTTCGCAAAAATTCAACGGCATTGTGTTCACAAATAGATTTCACTTAGTTCCCAAGAGCAATGAAGAAGAGATCTTTTTATAATCAATATAGATTCCTTCTACTATTTTTCCGACACTGATGTGGAGTGAAATCGATTCTTGGATCTAACAAGTCATGAGTCACTTAAGGCGCTTCGTACACAAGACAACGATTTTAGTCGTTAACTGACTTACGTAATATAATTTCTTAGAGGTTCATACATAGCGGGAGTCGCCAACTTTTCTGTCATCGCAGACAGTCGCTCGCAACATTTTTGTCAAGATCGTAGTAAAAAAAGTCGCTGCAATGTTGAAGATGGCAAACCAATTGAGTTGTTATTCCTGTACCGATCCAATAGACGATTCGCATCGTCGATTCAACGGTGTGTGTACGGAATGTGCGCAACACGATTCTCGCAACACAATCATACAATATTAGTTTCGATGATTTACCTTGTATGTGTACGAAGGGCCTTAGTGTGTGTTTGTTTTTAAAATCAGGTGTCGACCTTAATTATTAATGCATTTGTTATCTTTATCAATGTTTGTGTAGTCATCGTAGTGTGGTTCATGGCGCTAAGGGCCAGCGCGTGCTATTAACATAATATTGACATTTCGAATCTGTAGCTTGCATTGGCTGAATGTTTGCTGTCATCGGGCAAACATGTAGAACACTGTTTAAAATGTAACGACGGTACTACAAGCGGGTCGCCGTGACGTAGACAAACTCGCACCGAGGTGGGCCGGACCCCCCGGCCACTCGCATCACTTTAAGACCACTCACAATCAATCATACGTCGCACCATCGTCAAATGATGAACGAACTAATATATTTAAGAGACATGATAACGTATTGCTTCATATTTATTAGATTCGTATTTGCGAATGTTTAGACTTGGCTAAATTGTTCACTGTGATGTCAACATTAACCTGCTTCGTAAATTAGTAGTGGATTTTATATGCAAAGGTAAGTAGTAAACATATTTCTAGTACTTAAAGGCCTGGAGGTGCGTGCGATGGGCCATTGTTACGGACGAGACTAGATATTTAGGCTTGAAGAAACAATGACCACAAAGGTTACATTTAAGTTTTACTATTTGTCATTGGTTTACCGTTCGCCGGAGTGAAGGTAATTTGTGGCGTAAAATGAATATTTTGAGGGCAAATAGATTTCTAGACTCCACTATTATAGAACTGCAACGGAACCACAGAAATAACAAGGCTTGAGTGTAATTGGAAAATTATTGTTTTTCTACATTTATATAAGCGTCTGTTAAACTACAATATTGTTATTATTAACAAATATATTAATTCTTATGGACAGTAATAATTTGTTATGTTACCACTGTTTCTTGTTAATTTTAATTTAGTCAAATATACACTAAATATAGAAATTGGAACTCTAGACAAATTAGGACAGAAACCAATTGATCGAACAACATAACGCACACACCTCTCTTGCCTCTTATACGTTCATATATCTACGCATACATACGTCTCTTTCGGGTGCCGTTAATATCTCCCTTCTTGAGATCAATCAAAATTTTGGTAAAAAACTTTTGGTAGAAAGTTGTACATTTTTTCTTTTAAAAATATAGCAACGAGGTTTTTTTAAACGAGTCTAATCATCAAATCATGTATTACGTTGCAAAAACCTGGCACGTATCAACAAGCATCAAGAGGGCTCGTGTACACTTTTGTAGAATTGTTTGATGTCAAGATTTGAGCGCACTCAAAATTCTCTCTATTAAACTAAGTTAAGTATAATGTGATTTGGCGATATTCAACAATTTTAAAATCTTTAAACGACTAGAGGATGACTTGCTTGTAATCTTGGCGTTTGCCAGGCTAAAAAATATCATAAGAAATCATACTAATATTATAAATGTGAATGTTTCGATGGATGCTTATTTTTTTGAAGGTATCTCCAGAACAGCTGTTCTGGAGATACCTTCATGCATGGATCTCGCTGTTATTTGGTACAGATGTAGAGCGTCGTCTAGAAAAACACGTAGACCGCTAATTAAGTACTAAGTTTTTATTAACGCGCGGACAAAGTTGCGGGCGAAAGCTAGTTTTGTTTATAAAAAGTAAAGCCTTCTATTTTTTGTATTTGCAATACAAATTAAAAAAAATCGTATAAAATCACCGTGGGAATAAAATGTTTGAAGACAGTTATGTGGTGAGCTTAGCGGACAGGATTTAATAGTATGAAGGCTTTATTTCTCAGGCAGATGACGGTAGTACAGTGGTAAGGAAACTGATATTACATATTTATTTAAAACTAACTGTTGCCAGCGACTCCGTCCTCGCGGAATTAAAAAAAAACATAATTAGTAGCCTATGTATTCTACCAGACTATGTTTTATATGTATGCCAAATTTCATCCAGATCCGTTGAGCCGTTCTTGAGATACGTTCAAACAAATATCCATCCAACTAAACATTCGCATTTATATTAGTAAGAAATGAGATTGAATACAATAAGATCGTTGTTATACAGAATAAATATTATCACTAAGGAACAGGGGTTAAGATTTACTTAGTCTTCATTGCAGCTATGTAACTCGATTCGTAAATTTTTTGGCAAAATTATTTTGATGGCAGTAAAGTACTGTTGTTAAGTAACAAGTGCAACTTAAAAGCAGGTTTTGGCTGAGTTTTATTCACGTAATGGATATGATATAGCGGGTAAAATGTAGTTTCTCAAGTTGGTCAAAGTTTGAAATAAGGTAGTTGGTTTAGTTCCTCTTATCGCCAGATTTCCTCTTAAAATCCCCTTTAGAATTACTTTTCTAAATTGTTGTTTTAAAATCACTCGATCATTCTTATATTTGGATCATTTATAAAATGTTATAACTAAAAAAAAAGCATAAATATACATCTACATACATAAAATAAAATTGGTGTGTCTGCATTTAACACGGATTTTCTATATATTTCGTAGACATGTTTTTTTATAATATACTCGTAAGGTGGTTTTTTTTATTTTAGGTTTTTATATCTTAAGGTGGCAAACGAGCGAGCGCCCACCTGAAATCGCTGAAATAGCGAAGTGACCGTTGCCCATAGACATACGCAAATTGCATATGCGTTGCCTACCATTAATCGACGGAGGAGAGGATGCACAGAAAGAAAACAATTTCCCTTTCCATGCATCCTCTCATCCGGAAAGTCCACCTCCACTTCCCATCCTTTCCTTATCAGAAAAAGGGTGGGAAGTGAAAGAGGACTAAATTAGGCCTCCGGGACGCAAATGTATTTGCGATGCTGATAACAGAGAAACAATTTTTAAAATTCTTCCCTATATGTCTCTCTGAAGGGCCGCGTTTGTTCCGGATAATCTTAGGAACGGCTGGACTGATCTTGACAGGAGTTTAACGGGACGGTAGCAGATGCACGCGGGCATATAACAGGAAACTCTCGAAGTCGAAGTCCTCTGCTAGTAAATAAATAAAATTAATATAATACTTGTCTTATTCCTTTATTTTCTGCTGTGTTATTTTGCTTTGCATTTCTTGAAATCAATTGATTTTGTATTATAATATATCATAGAAAGCATTAACGTTGTATGTGGATATGACAGCTTACAAATGTAAGAAGTTGCCACCAGACACGAGCGAGCAACAATCATGTTAAGATAAATTTACAGATACCGCTTGGCATACGAAAGATTATAATTGATGTATCACCATCCACTGAATAGAACATCCCGATGGATTACAAACTCAGATAGGAAAGTAAGAGTTTCACATTGAAATACAACTACTTACGGGACTTACTTAGCGGGATCTTCCAGTCTAATTTGAAACTAATGTCACACTTTTAAGGTTTAATTTGTATTGTAATGATATAGAAGAAGATTACAGTAGCTCATATGCATTGCCTGAAGCATCGGGAATTGACACTGGTCGAACTGGTTAATTGTAGTGCATTATTTAGTTCAAATGCAGACTTTGTATAATTATGAAGATATGATTCGTGGGTTAAGTCATTCTAGTTTGCTCCGTTTGCTTGGGGCTGTAATTACAGGACGTTGTAGGAATATTCTCGTGTTTCAAGTCCCGTGCGTAGTTAAGGATAGTATAAGTTAATTAAATAGGTTACTGAGTAAGCTCTGTCGTGTAAATTGTTTATAGAACTAACTGGACGTGATTGAGATTCGACTTTGATTTAATCTATCTTGCAGTTTTAATGGCTGTAATATAAAATCGTAAATATATAGTAGATTTATAGCGGTTTCGTCGTTAAATAATTTTGATTAACTTTATAAATATAGTCTAGTCTAGTGTCGTTTATAAAACCAATTTCCAAATACA